GAAAAGGATGCTCAGGACAGGCTTCGCTGGAGTAATGTTGTTGATGGCCTGTGCTCCACTGGGAGTTTAAAAAGGGCAAGAGAGATATAGCTTGTTCGCTTTCCTCTGACAGCGTAAAAAAAAATTCTAGCTTTATTGACAAATTAACCTAGGCCCACGAAACTTTGCATAACACTTCTACAGACTATTCGAAATGTAAGCGTGCAAATTCACATGCACATTTCAGATTATGACATACGAATTATGGCAATGCAACATGGCTTGAAGATCAGAAATGATCCCAGGCTCAAGTACTTGGAAAAGACTGTTTCTGCGCTCTGAGGCTGCATTACTTTCCATGAAATAAACTTACAGAAATGAATGCTCATTTTGGGTGGCAGGAAGGAGAGAGCCAATGCGATGATATACTTGACCCTGCACGCGAAACTGTGGATTCCATCCTTTGAGGGTTGCATCGGTATAGCCCACGGATGTGAGCTGAAAGCAATTGTTGTACAGCCTGATTTTCTCCAGAAAGTGAGTGGACAGTGTCGACACACCAGACAGAAGGATTTGCAGTTCAGGAGGTGGTTTTGGAAATGGATGCAGATCAACTTTGTCATTGCTACAGCACATACCTTAAATGTGTTTCATATGGAAATCTTAGGGGCAGAAGTGTGTACACTGTACCGTCAGTTCCCCAATGTAGCACTCGTTCTTGTTCTTGTTTCAGGAAGCAACATCCCTGCACTCCGGACATGTCCATTGATGCTCCGTTGCTCTCTCCAAATTGTTGCCGAGGGTCCTTCTACTGATTGTGCCAGTGCATATCTGGTTGAACGTTCTTGTAGCACTCGTACTGAAAGGAATTGACAATGTAGAGGAATGCTTTTGGGAGATTAAGATCTAGAGAGTCCCCATCATTTTGTTGTTGATCTAGACCACCTCGACCTTTGCGAGCTCGAGGGGTTCCAACTGCAGAACTTCGTTTTCTTTTCGGCATGGTCAGGCGCTATCTAGGTCAAGATCTAGATTCTTATCTAAGATCTATTGACGTTGTTCCCAGTAGCAAGAAAAAGAATTTGACAAAGGAGCCCAGAAAAAGCGATGATTGGGCATAAAAACGAAAGGAAAGCAGTCGAATTTAGCACCAAGTAAAAAAATAAAACATGAGGCTATAATATCTATATGGGTAGCACCAAAGAGTCTACATAACAAGAGGGGCCACTTCTCTCTTTGAGCCAATAAAAAAAAGTGTCCTCAAAATTCGGTGGCGCCCTCTTCGCAAATGTGCACCCTTTGCGAACAGAGTTACCCTACTTGAGTTTTAAAAAATTAAAGTGAAACTAGCAAGTTTTTAAAATAAATTTCGGAAGAACGCTTTTGTTAAAATGGTTACGCTGAAAAAAAAAACCTCTTTCGGAGGAAAGGGTGATTGTTTTCTTCGTTTAATTTGAATTTAGAATGAAAGGCGAGAGGTCATTAAAATTAAAAAAAAATAAAACTCCGCACTTAACGAACTTGTTCTTGTTCTTGTTCTTGTTTCAGGAAGCAACATCCCAGCACTCCGGACATGTCCATTGATGCTCCGTTGCTCTCTCCAAAATGTTGCCGAGGGTCCTTCTACTGATTGTGCCAGTGCACTTAAAGAACACGAACTGCTGATGAACAGCAGTCGATCTGCGCAAGCAAGGAGGTGCTATTCCTGTTCTTCTTCAGGAAAAACGAAAGAGAGCTTCAAAACAGACTGCAGCGCCATCTGAAGAAAAAAGCGAACTTCCGGTGGACACTTTTTTGGCTGAGTGGCCCATCTTGATAGCACACTTAAATAGTGCTCAGTATTGCGCAACAATGCGCGATAGTATCGAACGGAAGTACGACTTGAAATAAACAAACCTAGCGCATTTTCTAAAATTACAGAGCCAGAAGCGTCGGCCTACAAAAGCGATCGGCGAAATAAAGAAGCTTAGCTTTTTGCAGCAAAACTGTCTCAAAGCTGAAAAAACGAAGGGTGCCATTATCTGGAGAATATTTTAAAGAATATTTTGGCGAAAACCCATATAGTTATCTCCTTTTAAACCTATAGTCTACATAGGCGAAAACTGCATGTCGATCGAAGCAGCCATTAAAAAGCCTTTTGAATAGCAAAATTCTGCCACCACAAATAGATTATAATAGATAATTACAATACAGCATTTCAGTACGTTAATCTGTTTGTTTTGAGGTTTTTTTTAAGTAAGAGTTTTACGGCACTTGCAACACAATAAGGTCATATACATGCCGAAGAATAGATGTATTACAAGAGAGTAAGATACACAAAAAAGAAGGAAGACAGATAAGGACGATAGATGTTTGATAGAAGGAACAAACCACACCAGAGCACCCGCCAACCATCCACACGTTAATCTGTACAGTACATGTACCATGTTGGTTTTTCAATGCGGATTACTTTAGTTCAAATCCTTCCCCAGAACATTCTCTCTAACTTCGGTCGTTTGGAGAGTTTTCACGCCCACTTCTAACACGACACAACTCAAACCCGTCAGAAATGGACTTCAAATTAAAGTTACAGTTAACGGTTCTGCCTTTTAAAAGTTCATAGTGTTGAAATTGAAAGGGATGTGAAACCAAATTCATATCATACATTTGTAATATGCTACAACCATGACACCACAGACGTTCAACCTAAAGCCGGCCATCCACTACGGAGGCTTCCCTTGAGTGCCTTTTTTTTGGGGGGGGGGGGGGGGGTGGTGGTAAGTGTTTTACGACGCTCGCAACTGCATAGGGTCATATGAGCGCGTGGGGCACATTAAACTTTTTCGGTTGGTGGGAAATTTTGAATTTTGCTCGGGGTGGCGGCCGAAACCTACTCTTAACGATTTTAGACCACAAAGGGATCTTTAACGTGAGCAACTTGCAAACAGGCCCTCCGTGATTTTTCGCCCTTGTCCGAGAAGGCTAGGTGCAGATCTTTCCTACCAGAAGATCAGGGTGTGGTTGAAAGACAGCAGTAAGAAAGAGCCTAGGAGTAGCAGTAGAAAGGCTGTAGAAAGAGTCAGGAGCCCACAGGAGGGGGCAAAGGAGGTGAGAGGATGGGGGCAGAAAGAGGAGACAGAACTTTTCTAGAGAGCAGGAAAGGAGGTGGAAAGGAGACAATTTTAGAATAGAAATTTTTTCTGTCACTACCCGGATTCGAACCCGGGACCTTTGAATGAGAGGCCAGCACTTTAAACTCAAGGCCACGAGAGCCCCTTCACATGTCCACACACGACACTGGCTTTCCCTGTTCTTTTTTTTTTTTTAATGGCGCCACCACGTGGTGAGCTTGTTGCT